GGCTTCTGCCGTTAGTATTCAGGCCCCATCCTCAGCTGGTGACTGATTGTTCCCACCATGGCGCTGGGCACAGCCGTACCCCGGTCCTCCATGGCATCGGCACGGGGTGTGGGGGGGTGCACCCTGCCCTGCACCCGGGTTTGGGGTGAGTCAGCCCGGGCAGGGCAGGGCTTCCCCTCCCTGCTGACTAACCTCAGCCCCGGGGAGATGCCGCATTGGGGTGACGCAGACTTTGGGGTGGAAAACGCTCCGAGGGTGAGCGGGGACCATCGCCATGATGGAGGGAAGCGGTCTGACCCCACGCACAGCCCTGGAGCTCGAGGGTGAGGACATCACCAGACCAGGCAGCTGTAGAGGAAGAGGAAGAAGGCCACCATGCAAGGCCGGCAGACCCCACCCAGGCACCCCTTCCCCTCTCCAGCCCTGTACACCCATCCACTGCCATCTCCCTCTCGCAGGAGGAAGACGCAGCACAGGGAAGGCAATGGGCCCCGCGTGAGGCCGAAGCACAGGATACAGCCCCCCCAGGGTGCTGGGGCCATTTGTGGACCAGGCACTGGCAAGCCTGGGTTGGGGCAGGGTGGGAGCTGGAGGGGGACACATTTGCTCCCCAGGGGTGAAGAGCAAAAGGAGGAAGAGGAGGAGGGCAGTGAGCCCCATCCCTGCTTTCTAGGGCAGTGCAGGAGGGACAGACACTGTGTTTGGCTGCCCCATCCTGAGGGAACTGGAGACTCCCTTTATTTAGAAGCGGTTCCCCACTCCCCGCAACCTCGTTTCTGCTGGCGGGGAAGCAAGGCACACATCCCAGCCACACCCGCCCCAGCCACTGGCACCACCACACAGGCAGGCAGAGTGATGCTTTCTGCTTTTATTCAATTAATGCAGCAATCTATACAAGGAAAAAAAAATAAAAATAAAAGAAACCATGAAATTCCAAACCCTGACAGCGAAGAACCAAATTCTTCCTAAGAATCAACCAGGTTTAAAAGATTCCCCCCATGTCAGACTGTACATAAAATAATCTCTGCCCCATTTACAGCGTTTCACACAGTACTTCTCGTATCTCAAACTTCAGAACTGTACAACTTTGTTACAAACCACGCTTTTTCCTAGGAAAAGCTTACGGAAAAAAATATTGCCACTTTCTTTTTTATTTTTTTATTTGTAACAAAACAAAAAATTAGAATCTTTAAAAAAACAAAATTAAAGTCAGCCAGAACTTGTAAGTGTGGGCATGGGAAGGAGCAGAGGCACGCTTCTTGGCCAAACGTTTCTCCTCCCGCCCGGGAAAGGGAACGCTTTTGGCAGATAAAAGACTATTTGCCACTGGTGGGGGTCTGGATCCCGGTTCCCCTGTGCCATCCTCAAAGTATCACAGCCCTTTCGGCCCGTGGGGATCGGACATGTAGACACAAGCGCCAGGTGCTAACAGCACCGAAAGCCTGAGCTCTCACCCTGGCAGAAATTGGCTTGTGCCACTGCCGGCTCATCCCGGATAGCAGGGTGGCAGCCCCACGGCCCAGTGACCCCCCCCCCCCCCTCTCGGGG